ACATGATCTAGCTCAGTCAAAGTGATGAACAATGTACGTATAAGTACATAGGTTCACTCTTCTCATGAATCAGAAAAAATGAAATTATAAAATAGATAATAACATATGTACAATAGTTGTTTAGTTATAATAGTTATTATTATGTTATAATAGTTTGACCAAATGCTATAGATAGTGATTGTAGTTTGCGACTGTAATAGCAGCAGTTGGTTACAGATGTTAGTCGGCCACAAATGTCATAGTTGGTGGCTACAAGGACAACATTTTATCATAAAAGCTAGTGTCTATGTCTACAACAACGACAGTTGTCCAAATAATGTCATTATTAAAAACTGTAACAGTTGTAGTTGGTCACAAAAATAGTAGTTGTTTACTACAAAAGTAGTAGTTGGTCTTAAAATCTGCAATCTCTACAATAACGTCTGTTAAACATAGATGTCATAGTTAGAGATTATAATTGCAGTAGTTCATCACAAAAGTCATAGCTGGTGATTATAAATATAGTTGTTGGCCATATTATATATAGTCGGTGGGTCCAATAGCAACAGCTAATCACAAAGGATGTAATTAGAAACTCTAATAGTAGTAGTTGGTCATAAAGACCATAGTTAGTTATTAAAACAATAGTCGGATAACAATAGTTGCAAGCAAAAGTCATCAGACGCTAGTGATTGACAATGACTGATGGTGAAGGCTAACAGTGGTCAACGGTGATCAACGATTATAGATGCTGGTGGTTATTCGTCATATATTTAATACATGTGTTAGAAGCAACAATTGTATTTGAAATACAAAAGTTGCAAACAATGATCACCAGTGGCTAGCCGTTGCTGGTGATAGCTAACCATCGTTGATGGTTGCTAACAGGTGGTTGTCGATAGAGGTTGACAAGTATCACCTAGATTAGACACAACAACCATATTTAAAATACAATAGTTACGAACATGGGTTGACGACAACTGATGGTTTGTAGCTGCAGGCGTTGACAGTTGACAGTTGACGGTGGCTGACGAGTGGTGGTCTGCGGCTATAGAGGCTGGTGTTTATCATCGATTCTTCTCTCCAGAATAAGCTTTAGCATTTCTCTTTTTCTTTTCCTCCTCTCAAGTAAAGAGAGGGGACATATTTATACTTTTTTTTAGGGGCATCTTGGTGTTTTGGCACATAAATTCTCTAATCACTTGATAGGATGGTTTGTGTTAACACCACTTGATCATAGATGGTTCATTA